ACACACGTGAGTTGGTCATCGTGTGGGATTATATGTTCTGGTAGGCAGTCGGCTAGTATTTTTGAGACGAGAGTCCTTCCCGACGGGTTGCTGAAGGTGAAGTGCGAACCCATCGGGAAGATGGTGGCGGTAGACAAGCAAGGTGGGACCGATGCGCGACTTTGCGCGCGCCGCGGCTTGTGACACATCTCGTTTACTTTACTCACGGCTTACGACAGCTCCGTTGACAAATCTACGCGTCTTTCTAGCTCATGTGATCGCGTCCCCCATCAATTTCTGAGCACCGGTTCGACCGGGCGAACGAAACTCAGGCTAGGAAGATCCCGCGACCCGGAAATAAGGTGATAACAATGCGGTGCAGGGATTCGCCGTCGTCCTCAGGCTTCCATCTCGACGACCAGTCCGCATATCGTATGCGAGCACGCTCAACGTGATGAATCAATATATCGTCATGCAATACATCTACACTCTAAGCGAGGAACTATGATAACAAGGTATACCGTATACACAGTGACATTTTACTTCTCTCTATTCCTCCGATACACGATAGCGAAGTCCGTGCGGCCAGCGAACGAGTGAACACACTCAGAAGGCCTTGAGGATGGGCGAGACAACCTCGCCGCCCTTCTTCTTGTAGAATTCGACGACCTTCTTGCCGACCGAGGCGATGTCTGAGAACGATCGTGGATCAGTAACGATACGCAGACAAGATCGAGCAGGGGAGTATACGTACTCTCGCCGGTGATACCGAACTTCTTGTACACCTCCTTGTACGGGCCAGAAGCGCCGAACGTGTCGATACCGTACTGCTCGTGCGAGTACTTGGCCCAGCCAGCGGTAGAAAGCGCCTCGAGCGACAAGATGGGCGCACCAGAACGGAGCACGCTCAAGCGGTACTCCTGCGGCTGCTGGTCGAACACGAGCCAGCACGGGATCGAGACAACACGCGTCTTGATGCCCTCAGCAGCGAGCTTGCCAGCAGCCTCGAGCGCGATGGACACCTCGGAGCCAGCGCTGACGATCGTGAGCGCCTCGCCCTCCTCCTCGTGTACGACGTAGCCGCCCTTGGTGGCCTTCTCGATAGTCGACGCCTCGAGGTTCGGCAGGTTCTGGCGGGAGAGCGAGAGGATCGAGGGCGTGCGCTTGCTTGTCAATGCGACGTAGTATGCGGCGCTCGTCTCGTTTCCGTCTGCGGGCCTCCAGAAGGCGCAGTTGGGCAACGAGCGGAAGTGGATGCCGGTCTCGATCGGCTGGTGGGTAGGGCCGTCCTCGCCGAGACCGATGGAGTCGTGTGTCGCGACCCAGATGACCTGGTGACCGCTGAGCGCGCTCAGACGAACAGCGCCGGCCGCGTAAGAGACGAAGTTGAGGAAGGTCGCGACGAAGGGGATGATACCGCCGTATGCGTGCAGACCGTTACCGATGGCGCCCATGGCGTGCTCACGGACACCATAGCGGATGTAGGTACCGGTGTAGTCGCCGAGGCCGGTGCTGGGCGGTTGGAAGTCGACGACGCCCTTGACGCGCGTCAAGTTGCTGCCTGTCAAGTCGGCCGAGCCACCCATGAGGTCGGGAAGAACGGGCGTGATAGCAGTGAGAACGATCTCGGAGAGCTTGCGCGAAGCCTGTGCAGCGTCCTTCGCGGTATATGTCGGGAGCTTGGACTCCCAGCCCTTCGGCAGCTCGCCGGCGATGCGGCGGGTGAGCTCGGCATGCTCAGTCGGGTACTTCTTGCCGTACTCGGCGAGGAGAGACGTCCACTTGCTCTCGAGGTCCTTGCCGCGCTTGCCGATCTCGCCCCAGGTGGAGTAGATCTCGTCTGGGACGTAGAAGGACTGGTCCTGCGGGAAGCCGAACTTGCTCTTGAGCTGCGAGATGTCATCGGCCTTGAGCGCTAGATTGTATGATATGCGGGTCAGTGACGCGGTGTGGTGACTTGTAATTGTACGCACGCGAACCGTGGACACCGTGGGTGCCCTGCTGCTTGGACCCGAAGCCGATCGTGGTGCGAAGGCGAATGAGGGTAGGCTTGTTCTTCTCCTTGCGAGCCTCTGCGATGGCGTTGTAGATGCCCTCGAGGTCGCTGTGAAGGGTTGTGGTCAGATAGAGAACATATGATAGACGAGGACTGTCTTACCTGTCACCGTTGTCTACGTGAAGGACCTGCCAGCCGTAGGCGAGGTAGCGCTGCTCGACATTCTCGGTGAACGCGACGGCGGTGTCACCATCGATGGAGATATCTGTAGAGAAGATCAATACGGAGCGGTGCATAGATCGACCAGCGCGCTTACGGTTGTCGTCCCAGATGGCAATCAGGTTGCCAAGCTGGAGGTGACCGGCAAGGGAGCAGGCCTCGCCAGAGATGCCCTCCATGAGGCAGCCATCACCGAGGAAGACGTAAGTGTAGTTGTCGATGAGATTGAAGCCGTCCTTGTTGTAGAGGGCGGCGAAATGTGCCTGTGCAATGGCGAGACCGACGGCGCTTGAGATACCCTGGCCGAGAGGACCGGTAGTCAACTCGATACCTAAACGTTGGGCGCGCGTTTAGGGACCCCGCGAAGATCAGATTTGGAGTAAACTTCGCGTACCATCGGTGTGCCCTGCCTCGGGGTGACCAGGTGTCAAGGAGCCGATTTGACGGAACTGCTTGAGGTCCTCCAGGCTGAGCTTGAAGCCCATGAGGTGGAGGGTAATGTACTGAAGAGCGCAGCTGGCGACTGCGGTTTAGGGCCACAACAGCGGGGAAGTAGCACATGGCACACTCACGCATGACTATGGAAGGCACATCAGACATCTCTTAGGCGGTATACACGCATGTCAATGGACTTACCCGTTCGAGAGCACGAAGCGATCACGGTTAAACCATTTTGAGCTCTTCGGGTTGGTGTTGAAGAAGCTGTGTGGCGCGTTGAGCTGCGCATTCTTGCACTCGACGAGATCGTCGCATCGCTCGAACTCACCGCGTGAAGAGGACGTGCGCGACGGGTGCCATGCCCATGGGAGCACCTACGACCGCCCGGGTAAGCTCGGGTTTCGGGGCCAAAACGGAAGGTTGAAGAGAATCGGCGCAAGTCTTACCTGGGTGACCAGAGTTGGCCTTGCCGACGACATCGGCGGCGAGGGTGCGGATCGTCGCAATGGACGCCGCGTCTGAGGGTTGTGCGGTGAAGGACATGGGGGGCAGGGGGCGGTAGTGGTCGCTGAACAAGCGAGGGTGAGGATTTATACTCCGGCCGGGACAGGTCGTGCGCCTCTACGGGGCGGCACGCCGGCCCGAACCCCAGAGGCGCGCAGCTTACACGAAACTGACTTTCGACCCTGACGTCCGTCTCTCCGCCAGCCCACCTCTTCCCGACCATGCACCCACAGGCCTCTGAAAAGCGAATAGGTGCGGTTCATAATTGTCAGTAGGCGCTCACGCGCTTATGCCATCTTCCCAGCTTGCAAGGATTTCTTCGAGGCACTGGAGGCTTGCCACGCAATAGCGTGGAAGAGGTACACGGGATGGTGTAATACGGACAAGAACAATCTGAACAGGTGCCTGCATGGCGAAGTGAGTCGGTACGTGCGTCTGTTTCATCATGCGCTGATGCGGCAGGGTGCATAGTCCGTGAAGAACGCGACACGGAATAGGGAGGATGCGAAAGTGCGCAAAGCAAAGGCCGAGAAGGCGAAGCAGGATCTTGCAGAGGCGCTATCATGACTTCCCTGTCTTGTTGCTGTAACTACACCGACTCGGCGTTGAATTCACACTTGCTTGCTTCTGGTTCGCAAACACCCTGAGCCCGCGGCGGATCTCAGCTATTCGGGATGAGGCGTTTCCCAGTCCTTACACGGCAATGCGTCCCATGTGCATCTGCATCTATCTGCATTCTCCTCCGTCCTTGCCTTCCTCATCCGGGCTGCAGGCCTCAGCGCTTTGACGCTCATCGTCGCGTAAGCATCAGTCCAAGCTCCGTAATACGGGCGCTACTCTCTTTGATGGGACGTATGACCAACTGTGGTAAGCGTATGTAACCGCCAGGGCAGTATACCTCCCGAGCGGTCCTCCCGCGACCCCCATGAATCATTGAACCGTGCCGAGATCGCCAAAGCTTCTTGCCCGATCCAACAACCACTGTCATTGGCGAGGTCACGACGCGGGTGCTGTGGGTTCTGCAGCTGACGTCCCGAGCAACCTCCGGGCCAGTATAAGGGCTATGGGTTGCGGCGACGCTTGACAATCCGCTCTTCAACGAACCCATGTCTAGCGCAGAGAAGACCGTTCGAACCTGGCTGATCACCGGGTAAGCCCGCGACGGAGGACGAGCCACACGAATCTCCTTTTCCGGAGAAGCTCGCTCATACTAATGCCGCGCTCTCCGAAAGGGCCAATCGCGGCATCGGACTCGAATTCGTGCGCCAGCTGCTCTCCGACCAATCCAACGTCGTCCTCGCGACCTGTCGCAACCCTGACGCAGCGACGGATCTCAAAGCACTTGGCAAAGCAGCACAAGGCCAGCTACACGTATTCGCGCTCGACACCGCTGATTCGACGTCCATATCGTCTGCGCCGGAACATGCTCGCGCGGCATTGGGCGAGCGAGGGCTTGACTACCTACTGTGCAACGCCGCTGTCGTAAGATAGGCGTATCCTGTGGCGTGCGCGCTATGGCAACTGACCCGTTTCACCTTGTGCGCGCACAGAACCTCGGTAGCGACGATTCCGTTATGGAGATGTCTGCGGAGGACATGACCCGCTCGTTTGCCGTGAACGTCGTCGGGCCGGCGCTTCTCGCACAGGCCTTCGAGCCGCTGCTTGAGCGGCCCGGCGCTCGCGGAGTGATCATGAATATGTCCAGTGGGCTCGGCAGTATCGGACTTGATTGTGGACCGAAGTGCCCTTCGTACAGCATCACGAAAGCGGCGTTGAACATGCTTGTGAGTCGCACCGTCAGCTAGAGCAAATGGCTTTACTGATGAAGGATGTAGGCGTATAAGCAAGCCAAGGAGAAGCCATCTCTCATCTCTTTCGTGATAGATCCCGGTTGGGTGAAGACTGGTACGTTCTCGCTATCATATATGCATTTGCAAGAACTGATTGTGGGTCAGAGATGGGCGGCGAAGGCGCTGTACTGGAACCCGAGGAGAGCGTTGGAGGACTACTGAAGGTGCTGAAGAGTGCGGACAAGAGTACCTCTGGCAAGTTCTTGCGGTACACTGGCGAAGAGTTGCCCTGGTGAGAGCATGCACGAAGTACAGCAAGTATACAGTATATACGATTACAATGGCGGTTTCGCGCATATCTATGCGAGCTTATGTACAACCTCTTTCTTGCCCTTCTCTACAGACGTGCTGGCCGTAGCACCGTTCGAGATGCTTGCGAGCGTCGCACCACCCTCAATCGTCACCTTCACCTCAGCACCTTGCCTCCTCACAACCGCCTTCCCAGCGTATTCATTCCCAGCGCCTGTAGGCAGGTCAACAGTAGCCTCCTTACCCTCCGCAAGTTCGAACACAGCAAGTTCGACCTCCTCCGCAAGCGCGTAGTCCGGCCGACGCTTGCCCGCGGGACCGAGCGGCAGCACGGTGCCTTCGCGGGCCCACACAGGGATGTCGTCGAGTGAAACAACCTCGCGTATCCAGCGCGGACCCTCGACGACGCGCGAGCGGTCGAAGAAGTTCGTCCAGCGGCCGGCGGGGAGGTAGTACTCACTTTCTTCGCCTTGCGGTACGAAGACGGGTGCGACGAGCAGAGAGGGGCCGAGCATATATTGCATGTCGAGAGTGTGTGTCGTCCTGTCCTCGAGGAACTCAAGGAACATCGCGCGCTGCAGTGGTGCACCAGTATGAACGGCCTTGAGCGCCTATATGATTATGGTCAGTCCTGAGACTGGGTGCGGATGCAGAGCTGTAGGTAGACGTACCAAGTCGTAGAGGTATGGCATCAACCTATGCTTCGCATCCAAGAACTTCGCCATGTTCTGCGCTGCCGCCTCGCTGTAGTTCCACGGGACACGGTACGAGATCGAGCCATGCAGACGCGAGTGCGAGCTGAAGAGCCCGAATGCGACCCAGCGCTGGTAGATTTCCTCTGGCGGGTGACCTTCGAAGCCGCCGATGTCGTGACTCGAGAACGCGAAGCCGGATGTTGTCAAGCTCAGCCCGCCGCGCAGGGTCTCTGCCATGGCTTGGAAGGTCGATTCGCAGTCGCCACCCCAGTGCTAGGATCAAGGTCGTCAATGCACAGTCGGCAGTGAAGTTGGTGAAAGCGACGTACAACGGGCATGCGCTGGCCGCCTGCATGAGCAGCACGCGCGAAGAGAACGGCTTGGCCTTCACCGCGCCGGCGCTTGATCAAGTTGAACACGATCTCGTTGTACTGCGTCGCGTAAAGGTTGTGCATGCGGTACGGATCCGAGCCATCATGGTATACGATGCCGGTGTGAGGGATGCGCTCAGCGACTGTAGGCCTCGGTTAGATCACGTTTCGCGTATGAAAGGTTGGAGAGCGCATACAGTCGGTCTAAAGCCCGGCATCAGTATGGGCGCATCGCAGAGGAGAGATCGGCACGCACCTTGAAGCTATCGACCCCAAGGTCCATCAAATGCTCAAGCTTCTCCACATACCACTTCTCTGCCGCAGGGTTGGTGAAGTCAACGATAGCCATCCCAGGCTGCCAGAGATCCCACTGCCACGGCCGACCATCGGTCCGCTTGAGGTAGTAGCCGTTTCTGGCGCCCTCCTCGAACAGAGGCGAAAGTTGCGAGATGTACGGGTTGACTGTGCAGTCTCATCAGTATGTCAGATCACTAAGAGCGGTGGTCAACGTACTCCAGACGCAGACTTTGACGCCGTACTCCTGCTTGATGCTAGCAAGGTACTTCGCGGGGTCGGGGAAGGTATCGGGATCGAACGTGAAGGAGCACCACTCGAGCTTCTTCATCCATAGACAGTCGAGATGTAAGACGCTCACGTCACATTGACGTTCGCGCATGCCGCTCAGGAAGGAAGATACGGTCTTCTCGTCGTAGTTGGTCAGGAATGAGGTTGAGAGCCAAAGTCCGAAGCTCCAGGAGGGCAAGAGTCTATGCGGGGTAGTCAGCGAGTGGTATCGGCGCATCAAGTATACGAATGTACGCGGGACGTCCGGTGAGACGCGTGTACCGCTCGAGAATCTGAAGCGGCGTCTCGCCGTAGATCAAGAAGTACTCGAGCGACTCGCCAGCCACGCCCATCGCAACACGGCTGACCAGTCCTGAACCAACCTCGAACTCAACTTCTCCAGGGTGGTTGACGAATACGCCGTAGCCGCGGTTCGTGATGTAGAAGGGGACGCTCTTGTATGTTTGATCGGAGCTTGTGCCTCCATCGCGGTTCCATACGCTGACCGATTGACCTACGCCTCTTCAGTATGATACAGCAGCGTAAGGTGGCGGGAGACTCACCGTTCTTCACAAACGCGCCAAACTGCTCTCCCAGCCCATACACCAACTCTCCCGGAGACAAGTCAAGCTCAGCACTCGCATACCGCACAGTAGTCGGCAACACCGCAGGCAACGGGTTCGAGTCAAATTGATCTGTCAAGCAAGACGAGTTCGCAGCCGTATTCTGCGTCCACTTGTACGGCACATCGAAAAGGCCATTGTACTTCTTCCCCGCACCAGTGAGCTTGCGACCCTTGGGGTCTTTGAACGTCAACGAGTAGGGCTCGCTGCCGATTTCGAGTGTCAAGCCGCCGGTGGTGAGAGTGTGGACGGCTGGTGCATCGTCTGAAGTTTTTAGTGTGCCGAGCTGAGCATCGCGGATCGGGGGTGCGTGCGCGTCGGGGAAGAGCGCGATGTTGGCGGATGTAGAGGGTTCGTAGAAGTGTTGCATGCGCACGCCGATGATGCCCTCGCTCGGCGAGTATACGCGCACCTGAAGGAAGGGTCCTGTTGCAATGTTAGTGCCATGCGGCCAGACCTCGACGATGGTGAAGGCGTACCACCGAGAGTGTCTCCAAGCCACTTGATAGCCTTCGTAGAGACATGTAGATCGTACCCGTCGTCCTTCACAGAGGTATTGATGACCTGAACACCAGGATACGACTTGACGCCCTCCTTCAACCTCCAAAATCCGTCCTTGAAGCGCATATTGTCGGCTGTAAAGTGAAGATCAAAGCAAGCTGAGGGAGAAAAGCGGAGAAGTTCTGCGCGTCGGGCGAGTAGATATACCACTGTATGGTCCGTGCATGCTCACAGGCACCGTACAATGTCTCGTAGCCCGAGGATTCTCCTGGGCAGGTACTGTAGAGCAGGGCTCGCAGATGACGGGTTCATTAACGGACCGCTGGGCGCTCGGCCCGGGCGTTTGTTCGGAAGAGGCGAAGTTCACGGAACTAGGAAAAGCCACGAATATCCTCGGATATGCAGAAATGGGTCTCTGGGAAAGCTGTAGCAGGATATTTTCAATCATGGCGTATATGATCTGCGCTTCATGTCCGGTACTCGGTTGGCATGGTGGACGAGAGCAGGCAACGTTGACAGAGAGGACGCGGCGGCGGCTACCTCCTTCACGGTGCGGGCCGAACATCCGAATAATCGCCACACCTGCAAACTTTTTGGCGCCTGCATTCATGAGCAGCGATGAGCTTGTTACAGGCTGTGGCGAGCCAGCTTGACGTTGAACGCGCATGTATCAAGGATACATTGGCCCTATCAAAGGGTCGTCGACCCGCGACGATGCTCCATTCGAGTTTGCCTGGTAACCCGTCGAGGACCTGCACAGTTTACTCGAAGGAGTAGTGGGATGATGCCCAAGACCATATGGCATGATAAGGAGACCAGAGCGATTGTATGCCAGCACATAGTATCTACTTGAGACCTTGACTATAGTCCCACGAGGACTACACGTAGAGATGTAGCCAGTTCACCGTCGATCGATCGACGAACTCCCCGCGACCGCATGCACATCTGTTCCTGATGGCGGAAGACGCCTGAAGGGTACTTTCTTCTCAAAAGAGCATCCTCGATGCCTACAGCAGGCCAAAGATCGCCGACAGAAGTTCTTCCAATCACACCGACAAACGTCCATCGAAGATTCGAACACATCCGTTAATCTATTCATGCGATTTTTACAGTGGTATACATCTTCTCCGTCGATACACGAGGCGAACGCACGTTCGCTTACTCGAAGATCCAAGCGGCCTGGGCCGACTCGTACTGGACGATACCCTCGGGGAACCAGCTGCACGGAGGAAACGCGTGTTAGAGACGCGCGATCGGTGTGCGCAAGGTGAGAGTGGGACGTACAGAGCGATCTCCTTCTCGGCGGACTCGACAGCGTCGGAGCCGTGGCAAATGTTGCGGCCGACAGCGAGAGCGTAGTCGCCACGGATGGTGCCTGTGATGTGTAGATATATAAGATACTACTCGTTGCAGCCCGATGAAAGTCATCGTACCGGGCTCAGAGGCAAGCGGGTTGGTGGCGCCGAGCATCTTGCGGCCGGTCTTGACGGCATCAAGGCCCTCCCAGACCATGGCGACGACGGGGCCGGAAGCCATGTACTTGATGAGGCCGGGGAAGAAGGGCTTGCCCTTGAGGTCGGCGTAGTCTATTTGAGATGACGATCAGCACTCATCGCCGGCGTAGATCTCGAGCAAAGACGCGACTTACGCTTCTCGAGGTGGTCGGGGGTGGCGTGGACGAGCTTGAGGGCGATAAGCTTGAAGCCACGCTTCTCAAAGCGGGAGATGATGTCGCCGACGATACCGCGCTGGACGCCGTCGGGCTAGACGCGTAGATCGGATTGAGCGACGCGTTTACTTATCCTATCGAAGAGCGCGTTCTTACCTTGACCATGATGTAGGTGCGCTCCTTGATGTTGGCCATTGTTGAGAGAGGTGGTGAGGGTGGTGGTGGTAAAGGTGAGAGGGACGGTGGTGAGCTACTGGGCGATCTGGAGAGAAGGTAGATATTTAAGAGGAGGCTCAACGAGGCCAGTGCCAACGCGACCGCAGCGAGTTTTGAGCTTCGCATATCTCCGAATCGCGGTCACGGTTGCCGCGACGTGCAGAAAGTCGAAGAAAAAGTCTGCGCGCGCGGCAGGATTCGAAGTCGGCGCGTCAGACCGGATCCCGGGCGCACCCGCGCTCGCGGTCCAACTGGTGTCCCGCCATTTGTCTCCCGACCACCACTGCACGACGCTCGTCGTCCCCCTCACCACTCTTACTCTACTCGGAAAATAGACCGCCCATCATGAACCAGGGTCTCTCGCTCGCGCCCTATATTATGAAGAACATGCCTTCGCTGGCAAAGTCTCTGACTGGCGTTGGCGCGACGTACGCGAACGTCGCTGGCTGGCGCAAGTGGGGCTTGAAGTACGATGACCTGCGTGCGTACATATTTCCAGTACGAAATAGAACGAAAGTGACAGCTGTATAGTTGTTGAGGAGATTCCGACTGTCCAGAAGGCGCTTGACCGCCTGACGGAGCAGGAGTTCTACGACCGCGCCTACCGCATTCGCAGGGCGCAGCAGGCGGACGTTGTGCACAAGGAGCTGCCGAAGGACCAGTGGATCAAGGCCGAGGAGGTATGTCTTACCATACATCCTGTTCTGAATATGAACTGACTGTGCTGAACAGGATGTTCGCTACCTCACACCACATGTCGAGAAGGCAGAGGCCGAGATTGAGGAGAGGAACAAGTGGGATACTCTCGAGGTCAAGCGCCTGTAGATTTTGGGCTCCTAGAGTGTGTACTGGCATATCTATCCTTCTAATTCCAGGCGGCTAGCGTCGCTTCATCCATTCCTGTTGAATGACCTGCAAGTCTCCCGACGCATGACTCTCGGCAAGCGTACACTCGAGTTGGCACTGACTGGTTTAGCGCTCGTGATATTCGCGAAATGCAACTCCTCACCTGAATATATTCTTCAGCGGAAATCCAAGCCTACAACTCAACTTGCATAAGGTGAGACTCTTCCTCGATGTCTATCACCCAATCGTCCCGTTCTTCATGTGATGAGAAAGAGTGTTACACTCGATTTAACCCAGCTCGTTGAGGCGGGAGTAACGCCCCAATACGCCCTTGAGATATACTTTCCCTCTGACCTCCTCGTTCCGCTCTCCGCTTTTCAATACGCAATCGCTGATGCATACTCCTATCCAGGTTAACTTCTACGACCTATACACTGCACTCAGTCGGCGGCTGTATGTACGCGCGGGTGCCGCGTTGTAGCGCATTGTGCCCGAGATCTCCGACCGGAGAACGGAGTCGAGAGCAGAAATAGCACCCCTTCTCCACTGTAGCCCAGAACCCGATGTTCACTCTAGCGCAGGCAATATACAATGAGAAGCACCTTCACGGAACAGCCGCTTACATACTCACCAGCACTGGCTAGAACCCGACAACTGCGCATCCATACCTGCACAGTCGAGAAGTATGAGAACCTGCTCGTATCCTGTGCTCAACAGCGCACGGGATTATATCGGATGGTTTTGACCTCGCCGGATGTATGATGCGCGTTACGGCCAGCTTGCTGCCGTCGATGTCGCCCCGACTTCTTTGCTGTCCGGTCCCGCCTCCGCAGCTGCGTCCGCAGTACCCGACGCCCGGAGTGTCTGTGCTCTTTCTGCTATGACAGCATTGTAGGCGGTTACCTTAAGAAGCGCGGCGTATAATCTCTACGCAAATCATCCGCCTACTCTTCATGCGCTCCTCACTACGGTCTACGGTACTGTCCGCCGCCGCTGTTGCTTCGACTGCTTCAGCGGCACCCGAGCGTCCCCTTCGCCCTCGGGATAGCAGCAGCGCCTGCTCAGATCTTGCCACCAGCATCCCCACCATCCTCTCTAACATCACGATCTACGCCGCCGAAGACGTCACCGCCAACCAAACCTTCACCGCGCTCGGCAACAACCTCACCGCCACGACCGACTACTGCCGCTTCGGCGCGAACGTCACCACGTCCGATGTTTCTATGTTCACCTTCGAGCTGTACATGCCCCACGAGTGGGATGGCAGGTTCTTGATGAATGGGAATGGAGGTGATGCGGGGAGTGTGCAGGTTAGCGATATGAATACGCTTGTGGGGGCGTATGGGATTGCGACTGCGTCGACGGATACGGGCCATAACTCGACGGCTGCTGATGATGGGTCGTTTGCGAGGGATAATTATGAGTCTGCTATTGACTTCGCTTACCGCTCTGTGAGTATCTGTTGTCAAATCCACGCATTGCGTTCGAGTGCTGATTGGCATTTGCCAAGGTCCATCTCACGACGGTATACTCCAAGTCGATCATCGCGGAGTACTACAACCAGTCTGTCTCGTACAGCTACTTCAGCTCGTGCTCGGGTGGAGGACGCATGGCGTGGAAGGGTGTGCAGATGTACCCCGAAGACTGGGATGGTGTTATTGCCGGTGACCCTGCTATGTGGACGCCGCGTCTGGACGGCCATCAGTACTGGTACGATCTTCGTCTCGGCACACAACCTCAAGGCGCTGATACCTCTGCAGGCGCAACATGTTCGTCAACTACTATGGTGCACCCGGCTACGTCTCCGCCACCCAATTTTCCCTCATCAACCAAGAAGTCTTCCGCCAATGCGACGCCGACGACGGTCTTGTCGACTACATTATCACCGAGCCATCACGCTGCCACCCAGACTACTCGACGTTCTCGTGCTCCAACACCACCTCGCCGTTCTTCAACTCCAGCACCTGTTTGAGCGACGAGCAGATGCAGACGTTCATCACCTTGTACTCGGACTGGCACTTTTCGGACAACGGAGAGTTGGCGTTCCCCGCGTATCTTCCGGGTACTGAGGCGCAGATGGGACAATCGGCTGGTGGAAGTCCGAGTGGGAATACCGGTGGATACTTTGACGTGCGTACCACCTGAGCGAAGTGATGATAGAGGCTGATAAGCTGCTGCAGTACCAGGTCCTGAACTACACCGACTATATCGAGCCCGCGTTCAGCGGCAGCGCGCCTATCCAGATCAACGGCACCAATGTCACGCTCGCACAGCTTGAAGCCATCGTCCGTCTTGCGTGAGTACTACGCATATCTCTGTGTCAAACGGCTTTCTGACATGATTTCCAGCGACGAGATCAACCCGGCGTCTAATACGGCCATGGACCCCGATATCTCCGGCTTCTTGAACCGCAGCGGCAAAGTCATCCACTACCGTCCGTCGATTTGCGATCCCCTGCCGAATTATCAATCTTCTGACGTGTTCGTGATACAGACGGTGCTGCAGACGGCAACATCCCTACTGGAAGCTCGCTCGTGTACCGCGATCGTATGCTGTCGAAGATGGGCGATGCCGCCACGGACGGATACCGCTACTACCAGGTCGACGGTATGCATCACTGCAGCGGCGGCGTCGGCCCGGTGAACTGTAAGCCCGGTTCCTTCATGAATGCTTTAGCCTAAAACTGACGTTCTGTTCTTGTACAGTCGGCCAGTCCGATGGCAACTCATTGTACCCGATGGACTCCAAGTACGACGTCCTCGGCGCCGTCGTTGCCTGGGTGGTGCGTCCGATCTCCCAGTCCTTCTCGTACTCTCTTAACACACTTCTCCTACAGGAGAATGGCACCGCACCAGACTATCTAATCGGCGCCATGTACGAAACCGACGACTACCTCAACACCGCGCTCGGCACGTCAGTAGGATACGCATTCGCAGCGGGCGGAGGCGACTCTTCGTCGACGCAAACGGTCAACTTTACGCGTAAGATCTGTCCGTACCCGCTCGTGGCAAGGTTTACGGGTGGGGACTGGAGCACGTATGAGAGTTTCGTGTGTAATTGAGCCTGAGTGGGTTGTGGAGGGTGTAAATGCAGACGTTTGACGGGCTTTGTGCTTGTTCTGGTGTTGATTGTTATACCTTATACTCGATGAATACTGTTTGCCTTCACCATGCGGTGTCAGGCGTATCGCCAGCCCGACTATCCAATACCCACGAGCCGCATGCATCAATGCGGTGGTGTCGCTTAGCGTCTCAAATCACTCGGATAGCAAACCGCTTTCAAGAGGTGCATGCAGGGACGACCCACAGACCAAGAGTTCAAAGGTTCAACAAGGACCATCAATATATGTACGAAGATACATAGACAAGCGCCGATACAAGATGTAAGCGGAGAGGAGACGAGGCCGCGCGTACCCATATGAGACGCCCAGGGTGCGCCTCAGGGATGAAAGACGATCGTAACGAGCAGGGGACAAGCTACGACCACCAAAGCGGATCCTCCTGCACATGGTGATCGAATGTTGCCGTGCCCGTTCGCCCAAGGGGACGCCGAAGCGCACGATGTCACGAAGCCGCTCCGGGGAGCGGCAACGTTTGGGAGAGTGCCATTCCAGTCGCGCGAGTGCGAGGGATCCAACCGCTACAGCTCCAGTGATGAACTGAAGTGTGCGAGCCCACAAGAGAAGTCCGTGGCAAAGGACCTCTCAGGCAGAAGACGATCGTAACGGGGAGAGGACAAGCTACGGTCACCAGAGCGGATCCTCCTGCTCTGACGATTGAGTGTTGCCGTGCCCGTCCGCCCAAGGGGACGCCGAAGCGCACGATGTCACGAAGCCACTCAACGAGGAGCGGCGACGTTTGGGAAAGATGGGAGCGCTGACTCCCAGCCATTCCATCCGTGTGAACACGAAGGATTCAACCCATGTGAAGCGTTCTTGGCTAAGGAACGCCTCAGGGCAGAAGGAGTCGTAGCGGGGAGAGGACAAGCTACGGTATCGTCATGGCGGATCCTCCTGCGCATGGTGAACCGAAGGTTGTCGTGCCCGCTGCCCGAAGGCACGCCGAAGCGCACGATACCATGAACCAACCCGCGTCTCGACACCAGACTCCCAAGGGAGTGAAGCGAGCAGGACAAGAGGCGGCGAAGGGAGATGGGGATTCAGACCGAGCGGCGGCAGTCGATATATATCGCGGTGTGTTGAATGTTTCAGCTACCGTCGAGTGAGACATTGGTCGTCACGTGAGTCTGTATATCGCTGTTTCAGCATTCCTTGTTTCGCGCACGCGCACAAGCAGCAGTACGGACACACGCCGCCTCCTCTTGAACGATCTCCAGTACCGGTCGACCTGCAAGCTTGGGATGTTATGTCGCGTGATCGCGACAGAGACGATTCGAGTTGCCAAGCGTTGTAGAAGCGTTGATTGCGCACTGCGCTGAGCAGCTGGTGGACTACGAAGATCGAAGCACTCTCATGTGCATGTCACGACTGGACTGTGAAGTAAGGAGTGGGCCATGGCGAGGGACTAGGATTGGGTGATTGAGTGTCCGTTCATCGTGGACGCTCAGGGCAAGGTGCGATGTGCCCAACACGACGCGCGGCGCAACGCGTGCACGCTCACCGCGTCTACCACTTTACGTCCATGGCTCATCCTTATGATGACGGCTATGTATCGACGGATTTCCTATATCTGACCAGTTCAGCGCTGCATCGCATTGTTATCTGTTTGTTTGACCTTCTCAGGAATGATGCCATTATCTCGTTCAACCGCCCGTCCTATGCCACTCACTGTCAGTACACGAGCAGTTTTGACAACCGATAGTTGCGTAAAGTGAGCCCTCCCGCCCGAGCCACCGGCACGGACGTCCAAGTCATACAGCTAATATACGCGCGTCTACCAAAGACAGTCTACCACGGGAACGAGAACGGAGGCAAGATTGCGAAGGTTTGGAAATGGTGTTTATTTCTCTACATATAATACATGGCAAGACATAGATAGAGCGTGCCAAGAAAATGAGATTACATTTACCGCCCAAGAAGTACAGTCCGCGAGATGAGTATGCCGGCAACGCTAACGAGGGAAGTCAGGATATGGTGTGGACGAGGAGGATAGTATGAGACGCACCAATCGCACGCCCAGCGAGTCGATGTGACGGGGCGCTGATGGAGAACCTACAACGAGAGGAAGTGAGCAAACAAGTAGAAAGCGGCTTGGGTCGCGGGAAGAGCGCGCAGACACGAGCGCCACCGTACAGCCAATATACAAGCCTCCTTCGTACAAGGACGAAGAAGGACACCGCTACAGCCCTTACGCTCTGGCAGGTGCGCACCGCGACGCTTACAAGCA